TTTTCATTTGCTTTATTCCTTCATGCACAATAGATTCATCGCTATTATTTTCTCCGTTTCGCGATTGTTAACTTATTCAGTATGCAGTTTCGACTAACTGTTTAGTTTGAGTTCGAATTCCAATCGACACTCTCCTGCCAGTTTAGAAAAAAGAAAAATATTTAGTTTGAATTTGAATTACAAAAATCAATAAAAACGAATCTTGCTCTTTTTCTCCACTCACAGAGAAATATCGATTTGAATTTGGATTCAAATTCTAATTCCAGTGTTAGTTTCACTTATGATCTAATTCGAGCTGCCATAGGGATGGCACATTTTCTTTATTTTACTTTGAAAAAGTAAAATAAAATACTATAGTTTGAATGTTGAAAATAAAGTGAGATAAAGTTAATCAAACAATATTTTTCATCTATTCATAAAAAATCGACATTTTTCGACTTTACTTATTTTTTTTCACACTAATTTTAAGATGAAACGATATTGAATAAACTTTGCTACGTTCTAAGATTATTTATACATGATCCTGACCTAAGAAATTGCCAAAAAATTTAAAACATACAACTTAATTTTTTTTCACTCTACTTTACTTTCTGGATAAAATATTTAACTTTATTTTATCCGATAAAGTAAAGATAAAATGCCAGCTCTAAGCTATCATGTTTGAGTTTAATTTGTATTTTAGATGGATAATCACAGTATTGCCATTTTGACTTATATTATGAGTTCTTGTTGTGTGGTTTGAAGTTATTTTATGATGGAACAATGTGAAGTTTTTGAACTAATGAAAATAAAGTTACATCTAGTAGGAAATTTTTTACATAAAAAGACATGAGCGTGCTAATAGAAAAACAGCGTTATAATTCTGTGAGAACAGAACGTCTAATGTTTGTCTTAACGGTAGGGATCTTCGAAAGACCCTGTGAAATAACATAGGAAAAAATTTGTCGTCGACACCGCCGCCGATCAAATGATCGGCTAATACCTCTAGTCGTGATTGCTTCAACTGACATAGCATATGTAAGAGTCTTTCAACTAACAAAATAGTCAGAACATTCATTCTTAACATCGCTACCCTATATCTAATGTATTTAGTCTTGTTGTATAAGTTTAATCTATGAATCATGGAATTGACACAAAATTAAAACAGATTTGCATATAATACCATATTTAGTCTTATTAGATACTAAATAAAGTACATAATTATGTCCAACTCAAAATCTGTCTTCTTAGGTTGACTATTTTATATCTGAAAACGTTGTTAGTTAACGGTGAGATACTCACTTGCATTTGTTCGAACGAGAGTTTTTTCCGATCTTCTAACTAGTGTGTGTGTTGCCTCACGTTGTTTCATTTGAATTTGATGAATCAAAGGCTGTGTCTGATCATCATCAATAAAATCGATAGCGGATAGTTTCTCCAGCATCTCTCGAAGTTCTGTTAATTGTTGCATCCATTTGGTCAAATCTAACTCTGTATAATCATCAGATTCACTGCTGGCTTGTAATTCTTTATTTATTGATAAGAGTGATGTCTTCACTCGAATCTTGGTACAATCAAGATATTTCTGTAGATCATGTCGAGCATCTTGTGCAGCGACTCGAATATTTTCGATTGAAGTTTTTTCCCATGTGTTAATGAGAGTTACAAGTGGATGTATGCCTTTATCTGAAATCAGATCACATTGCAGAAGATCATGTTCTTGACTGACTTGATCCATCAGTACGGATAGTTCTTCTCGATGTTCAAGCAGATGTCTAGTACAGAACCATTGTTGACAACCACCACATGTAATAATTCCTCCACCTTTATTACATTTAATACAGGGCTTCTTAATTGCTGCTGATTCCATGTCTTATTATATTGAATAAAAAAATCAAATACTCTTCATCAATGCATTAACGTCTACACACAACTTCGACACTCATTTACAAACCACGTGTACAAATAAAAATACACGACAGAACGTCGACGAATGAAGAAAAATACAAAAGCCTGTGACGACAACTATCGTAACAAACAAACGACTTTTTTCGTTCTCATTGTATATCACCATGTGATCACTTGTCGTCAACAAATTCAAATATGATTTCGTAGCGCTACAGAATGCAAAAATATATACTAATAAACGTTTATATTCTTAAAAAAAATTGTTCTGTGACATAAAGAAAATCATTTCAGTGTCATATGCGACTAAAACCATATGGCTAAGCGATCTTTCATAAGCCATTATTATTAATTAATGTTTATATATTTTCAAGAAAATCACAGACTTATCAATTTCATATATTACGAAGCATGCTCCAAAAAACTACAAAATCCTTATTTAACCAAACAATAAAATATTTACATGATGAGACTTTGTGTTGTTTTACACACTTTAACTGTTGTGATGAATAAAAGTCCAAATAATTTATTAGAAGAAAGTTTGCATCTTTCGATTTGAAGAAAAGTTATGAATGTTTTTTTTTTTTGAAATTCTTTTTTTGCTACTATTGAAAGCTTCGATTAAGAAAGCAATATGACATAGAAAAACTCAAAACATGAAAATGGAAATTTCTTTAGCTGCTTTATTTACTATTTCGGAAGAATACACGAATAGATGAATGTGTAATAGAATTCATTCATATAGACTGTCCAGACAACGCAGCAACTTCTGATCTTTTTTTAATTTCCCTCCTTCGGATGTCTAAATTTGACTGACGAGGGAATCTTTTCAACTGTCAAATTCCTTTTGAGCTCGGACTTTGTACAAAAGATAGACTCCAATAAGATATGAAAAATCTCAATAATGAAAAATACTGACCAAAAAACAGATTTTATACACTTATATCCCGTTTTCACGTTTAAAAGTACAATGTTTTTGATCAACGATACTTTTAACCATTTCCAGCTTATAACTATATGGAAAAAAA